AGACAAAAGTATAACTGAGGCTTTTTATTTTCATTTTTTAACGTATTTGGAGGGGTAATGTCAGACAGGAAGTCTTCGGGGAAGTCTGGGAATTATGCAGCTAAGACAGGGGAAGGACGGGTAGATCCAGATTTTTTTTTGGCACCAAGGATCAAACTCGGGTCCTTGTGCTTGTGAGGCAGGTGGGGGAACCACTGAGCTAAATCCCTGGCCCTACAACCAGATTTTTGAAGGATCTGAAGCTAATAAAATTTGGGACCCTCTATTAAAATACAAAATTTGGTTCAAAAATGAATACCAACTTAGAATAAGAAAAAAATGCAATAAATTACAAACTTTTAAAAAGTTGATCACAAATCATACACTATACAGAAAACTACTTAACCATTTTGTTAATTGACCATCCAGTGTTTTTATGCTCACGTATTTATCCTACACACTCTTTAATCACCTCTTCCTATGATAAGATAATATCTGATCTACACAGAAGATAGATAATTCAAAGGACAAGGTAGATAGAAATGTTATTGCTATTCTTAACAGGCTCTAAAGTCTTTGAATTGGTGAACCTCACTGGCCAGTTGTGACTGATTTCTCAGTATTGTGAATAATAAAGATTTATCTTGCTGATGTCACAGGTTGGAGGATATCAATGAGAAATTTAAATATTTTTCTAATGCATTCATATGATTCAGTCCTCATAATTAACTGGGTTATCAAAGTATTACTTTTATTATCTTTTTTTTACTGAATTGTTTTCTTTTTTCTTTGTGTGTGTGTGGTGTGTGTGTGTGCGTGTGTGTGTGTGTGTGTGTGGTACCAGGGATTGAACTCAGGACCTAGCACTTGCAAGGCAGGTGTGATGCCACTAAGCTAAATCCCCAGGCCCTGAATCGTTTTCTTTAAATTTTTTTAAGTTTTATAATTTTTTAAAAGCCAGAATATTTTCTATTGATTTCAGTGTTTTGAGCATCTTTTGTTAACAGTCCATCAAATTTACCTGCATTTATTCATCTTTTTTTTCTTTCTGAAACCTTCCTTTCCTTTCTTCCTTCTTCCCTTCCTTTATTTTCTAAGAGATGGGGTCTCTGTTGCCCAGGTTTCCCTCGAATTCCTGGGCTTAGCCATCCGATGCCTTCTAAGTACAGTAACCGGACTACAGGCACATTCTAGCCCATCCAGCACTCCATTCTTTAATAAATAAATTTAATGATAACAAATTAAGTTTGTTTTCATCTACATCCAAATCAGAGTCTGTAATTTTTCACTTCTGCTACTGAAATATTCCAGAACCTATTTCTCAATTCCAAGAAGAATGCATATTCAAGCTTTATCAACTTTCTCAGTACACTTTTTGCCTCTCATTTACGTTCTGGCTCCTCTCTTCAGACTCTTTGAAAATACCTCTTACAGTTCCTTATGGTCCCATTCTGTAAGGCTTGAACAGCTCCATAGGAGGCAGACATCCTCACAGCAGACTCGTGAAAGAACTCCAGGATTGCCAGATTTAAAAAGAAACCATGAAATAGAGGCAAAATGTCGAAATAGTCAACAACTTCCGGCCCAGTGGAGAAAATACCGGAAATGACTCCGAAGGGCGGTGCTTGTCTCTGACTTCTGCATATTTACAAAATTTGCGGCCACGTGAACATGCTGCTAAAGCCCCTTCCTGGGCCCTGCCACCAAGTCGGCAAGGCAGGGAGAGGTTGGGTGTCCGGAGTAGGAAGTAAAGCGAGCTCACAGGTGGGCCAGCAGGGTGGCACTGCCTGAGGCAACGTGTCCTCCGGGATGGGGGTTTCAGGGGGAGCTCCGATTTTGAAGGTTTTTCTCAGGTAAATAAAAATCAATGGGGCAGGAAGAATAAGAAGTGAATATTTAGAGGGTGCGAAGCTCCAGGGTGGGGGAGACGAAAAGCTCCTGGAGATCGGAGGCTACGAAGATCACTCAACCTCTGGAAGAATGTCCTGAAAGTCACAGAACTGCAGGCTCAACGTGGTCAAGGTAGCAAATTTTATGTTGGGTATATTTTACTGCAATAAAAATTGTGTTGTTAATAAAAATAAATGTAAGTGTTTTAAACTGACAAATTGAGATCGCATAGATGCATACAGTCCAAGAACCAGGAAAGAAAATCTCTTGTACACTTAGTTTCCCTGAATGGTAACACTTTGCAAAAATATGGGACACTGACACACCTACATACTGACACGTACACAATCCTCCCACGTCTTGCTCTGGTTCCCAGGTCTCACTGTGCCTGTTGGTGTCTGCTAGGTCTATGCAACTTTATTACCTGTCCACCCTCACGCGAAGATCCCTCCTGCTGCCGTTAATAAGCACACAACTTCCCTCCCTGTCCCCCACCCCAAATGTCTGGAAACCATTAACCAGTCTCCTTTCACAGCGTGCTGTCATTCTCACAGCGCTGTGTGAACACTCATACACTCACGGGTACTTTGGGTTTCTTTCTCTTACGCTCAGCATCTCTTCCTGGCCGTTCATCCGTTTTACGTGTAGCACGTCAACAACTCATTCCTAGTACAGAGTAGGACTGCGGGGACCTGAGGTACCACAGTTTGCTTAACAGTTCACCTACGGAAGACACCTGCACCCTCCCAGGACGGTCTGAGGTCAGGAATAAAGCCGGGTGGGGGGGACGTCTATGTACAGGTTTTCATGTAAACCGAGCCCCCACCCCGTGAAATCACTGGGCTAAGTACAAACGATCTGATGCGATGGCCACCGCAGTTTTAGGTTTTTAAGAAACTGTCAGACTGTGTTCCAGAGAGTCTGTGCTATTCTACATCCCCACAGCAGTGTGCGAGTGATCCGGCTTCTCCCCAGCCCTGCCAGTGTTCAGTGTTGTCCCTGTTTCTGTCTTAGCCTTTCTGAAGGGGGTGCGCAGCCCCTCATCTCCATTTCCCTAATGACAACTGATGGTGAGATGGGTAAAGCATAGGAGTGGTGTAGCCAATGGGAACTTCCAGAAGGTCACTGTGTGGAGGGCCCTGGTGACAGCCGCTGTGGGGCCTGAGCTGGACCATGGGAGGGAAGGGACAGAGAGGGCTGGGGGCAGGGGAGTCCAGAAGTGCTTCCAGAAGTTGGCCAAATATGGTGCCTGTACGGAAGAGGAAAGAATCCAGAATAAATACTAGGTTTTTAATTCAGTTGGAAAAGAATTCTCTACATATGCTGAGTTTTGCCTGTAAAATATCACATAGCGCAGATGCGCCTTGATGTGAACGTTCAGAACTATACTGTGTCTGGGCTAGAGGCAAGGATTTGGAAGCTCAACTCCACCACTAAACGCAGAGGGAGAGATCTGGCTTTGTAAACATGTAGCTGCTTGGTCCCCACCTGCAGGCTTCCAGTCACTGAAGTCTGGACAGCCCCTAAATTCACACACACACACACAAATTGCTCGGGCTGGCTCAAATTTGCCACCCTCCCACCTCAGCCTCCTAGCATTTTCCAGGACACTTGTCACACACCTAAACTCTACTTTTCAGGTGTATGGAAACTCACTTAGGGTTCTACCAATCCTTTTTCTTCATTGTAGTTTTAGTACTTTTCTACTATGACTATTTCACAACTGGATAATAAAAGTACTAAAACTGATGTGAAGACTGCATGAGCAATGTCTCCTCCTTCAGAAGCAGCAGTGCCAGCCAGGATTCCCGGAAACAGGGCTCCTGGCAGCTCCACTGTGCAGCTGTAGGGTCCCCTGGAAATTACGCGACAGACGCCCATGGCCTGCTCTGCTTTGGAGGACCCAGCCTTCCTGCCCAGCTCCCCAGGGCTCCCCACAGATGCCTCCCACCCCAGGACAGGTAGCAGCAAGCCTTCCCTTTGGGGATAGACTCTCCCTCCTCAGTCCCTCTGCTTCGTTCCTAGATGGCCCTCCCAGGCACACAGCGCACCTTTAAGATTTGTTCATCAACAATTCACTCCTAGTACAACCTTTCTGCGGCCTTTAAGATTTGTTCATGGCAAGCTGGGGGTGGTGGCACACGCCTCTAATCCCAGCACTCGGGAGCTGAGGCAGGAGGATCGCTGTGAATTCGAGAGCAGCCTGGGCCACACAGTGAATTCCAGGTCAGTCTCAACTACATAGTGAGACCCTGTCTCAGAAAACCAAAAAAAAAAATTTTTTTGTTCATGACAAATTTATTTTATTGGTACATTTTAGATACACATAATGATCACATCCATCACAGGGAATTTGGACCTGTATATGATATACTGCAATTCTATTTTTCCCATCCCCCTCCCCTCCCTTCAACTCTTCTTCCCCTTCTCATTAACAAAAGCTTTGTTTCCATTTCTTTTCCTTCTGTTCTCTTTTTTCTTTTTCTTGTCCCTTCCCTCCTTTAAGATTTTTAAATTACATTTCCCAAGACCTTCCCATCTCCAAGTATCCACCACTCGCACCTGTACCCCAGTCTCCCAGAGACCCCCCATTTATGTGGCCCAGTGGGCTGCACAGAAGACAAACAGGCAAGATGGCTGCTGCTTGACCATAATTCTAAAGGAACTGAAGTTATCCTTGGAGGGCAGGGAGGCAGGGGAGAAGGAGGAGACAGCAAAAGCCAGCGGGGCCTATTCTATTCCCGAACTGCAGTCACGGACCCTTGGCAACTGAGAAGCCATAAGTCAGATCCAAGATCTTACTGCAGATCAGGGAGATTTTTCTCCCCAGAATATGATCCTGGCCTCTTACTTCCTACTAATACCTCAGAAGCACCTTGCCCCAGAACCATTGACACAGAGAAGCAACGCTGGACCCTCATTCTGCACAGCTGCATGGATTCTCTCAGGTTTACCAAAAGCCCCACCTCATCATCATCATCCTTCTTCTTCTTCTTCTCCTCCTCCTCCTCCTCCTCCTCTTCCTTCTTCTTCTTTCTTCTTCTTCTTCCTCTTCCTCTTCCTCTTCCTCTTCTTCTTCTTCTTCTTCTTCTTCTTTGAAACTTCTATTTATCTTTTTGCTTTATTTTTTAATTTTCTAAAATTAAAAATCCAGTATCTGGACCCTGAATATTTAAAAACAAGCAAGTTAAAGGTACAAGATCCCAATAATGAATGTAACTGTACTGCATACCTAAAATGTACCAATAAACTCAAGGAGGAAAAAAATAAATAAATAAAAACAAGCAAGCTAACTTCCACTGAATAAAATGGCCCCTAACGAGTCATTTCTCCGAGGACCCCACAATTCCTACAATGAATCTGGTGCTAAGAACCCAGGAGGCAAAGGAGGAGAACCAGTTATCGGGGTGCCACTCCCCTCACTTTTCTCCACAGCTCTGCCTCCCTCCACAATGGCAGTCACAGGCCCTGTGTCATGGCCACTGCTCTGGGGACTCAGCGGTACCTGCCGTCAACAGTGGTGCCAGCCAGGACCCATGTGCTCCTCGGTGGGTGAGACGACTCCGCCAACTTCCCCTGAAGCCAGACCATCACAGCCTCGGGCACGGAAAGCCTGAGTGCAGAGCAGTAGACCTAATGCCTGGGGTTTTACAGAGAAGAGGAGAAAAACTGGAGAGAAATATACATTTGCCAGACTTTGACTTTGCCAAAAAAGGATATTTTAAAAACAACTTTCCCTTTTCACCATTGTTTCCTTTTGTTTATTCCCAAAATTACTTATTTTTTACATTTTCTTTTTATTTTATTAGTTGTTAGTTCCACAGAACAATGGGTTTCATTTTGACACATTCAGACATGCATATAACATATTTTCATTGTTTCACCCCCTTTATTCCGCTTTGCCTTCCCTTGCCCCTCCCCTGCTCCTTTTTCCCTTCTCTAATAATCTGCCCTCTACTTTCCTCTGATCTCTTTCTTTTTTCCTATTTCTCTGAGGGGTTTTTTGTTTGTTTTGTTTGTTTTGTTTTGTTTTTAGAGCCTTCAAATGACAGAAAACATGTGACATTTTACTGATTCTTGCTTGTTTGGCTAACACGATGGTCTCCAATCACACCCATCTTCCTGCAGATAATATGATTTTCATTGCTTCTTCTAAGAAAGAAAATGTAATGCACATAGGTCCCATTGTTGGGGACACAGAGCTTCCGGGCAGGCAGTTGGCATCATTCCCTCCCTGGGCTGGGCATGGCACCAAGCCGCCATCCCCGTCTTCTGTCAGAAAGGGTCAGTGGGTCTCAGACTTCTGTTTCCTGCTGTGAATTTCTCCAGTAAGTGGACATGAGAATGAGCTAACTCCTCTGGAAGTCATGCCCTTCTGCCCAAGGAAAAGAAGAGCAGAACAATAAACACCTAACAAAAACGGAGGTACCACTCTTTAACCATCATGAACCACCTAAGTTTCCGTGCTCACTGTCAGCCTGACACTCCTGATTCCTTCTCAAGTGTGGGAGGAGGAGGCTTGGCCCTAAGCATGATGAGTACTTCCACTGGAGAAGGAAGGGCATCTGCACCTCTTCCAAGGCCTCAAGTAATGCAAAGCCTCCCTGAGATCCAAAGACTCCTCTAGACCCCCACAGCCTGCAATGCCACGATGCTTGTGAATGCCCATCCAAGGAGGAATGGAGAAATGGACACGCTCATCCTGATAGATGCCACTGCTCAGCCTTCGACAAGTGGAGAATCCCGTCGCATTCAGAAGGAGTGTGTCGCGATCTGGTGGCCTTGGAGGGGGATGTGTCCCTGACCTGGTGTTGAGGTTGGGAGACTTAGCTCAGAGGTTTATCTGAACTGTTAGGTAGAAGATGTATAAGCTTTATTCTTGAAGTCATATTATTGTTGAGTTTATTTGTTACAGCAATCCAGCCTTACCCTAACTGATGTACCATCTTGACACTATATAGTTTAATAATCAGCGATGTCTTCTGTTAAAAAAAATAATTGAACCCCTCCAGCCTACATCCTGGCAATGAGGAGCGAATTGAGTATCTCCACTCTTGTCCATGGGTGAGTTTGCCTAATCTGTGGACTAGATCCAATGCCAGGTATAAGAACCTGGAAAAGCAGTCTGGATGAGAAACCCAAATCAGCCTGAGCTCTATGCATGAGGTATGAGAATTTATTTATACCAGCAATGAGATGCCTTCCAAAGAGCCCAAACTTTGACAACCGACTTAAGATGCCCAGAAGCAGGTGTGACAGTCACTTCCTTGTGACTTCATCACAATGCTTGCAGGAATCCAATGACTCCATGAATTTCCCTGGGGTTCCCAATACTGACAGAGCCCCCCAGAAAAACAACGCACCCATCCATCTTGTCACTGGATGCTGGGTGCATCTGACTGAAGGTCACAGCACTGCACTCATACTCCACGCTCTTTGGCAGTGCTGCAGACAGTGGAGTACACCGTGCTAAGTTCAGGGCGTAAGTGTCTACTAACAGGAAGGGCAGGGAAACAGAAGACAAGGAAAAGGACCACAAGCTTTAGAAAATGCTCTGGGTTTGGGACTCAGATGAACATGGATTCCAACCCTGACTCTCCCATTTGCCCTTCAACTCACTTCCAACTTGGACTCAGTTTCCCAGAGAATATCATTTCAATCCCTACCTCGTATCCAGGTACTGAGGACCAAGGCAGCAACTCTAACTCACGTGGAATGTACTGGCAGGGAAGGAGCTTGGTAAAAATTGCAAAACAAAATCTACAGGGAGCCTCCCTCCAGACGAGGAAGTGGGCAGGCCTCATCCTACCCCAGGTCACCATGAAGGGAGCATGGCCTGCCAGCTGGCCCCAAGGTCTCTAAGTCATCAGACAGGCTTTTGTGGGTGCCACTGTGGGACAGGAGGATGTGCTCACTGACCACATCCCAGCTGTTCTGCAGCTGTGGCTGCCCAAACCCTGCAACTATCCTCATGTCTCAGCCACCCAGCAAGACACACAGCAAAGCCCCAAGGAAAGTCATGTTACAGTCACCCTATTCTGTTGCCCAATCCCAAGAGATAATAATGAAGAAAGGTGGTTTTTGCTTTCTATCCCTACAGCTGACGGTTGACTTCTTTAATAAACAAACCCCACAGAATTAAAGTCTGCTTCCTGCCTTGTTTGTAGTCCTTACCATGAGATAGAAAGTGAAGGCCTATGGGAAAAGGGGCTGAATAAAGCATAACAACTTAATTATTATCATGAGCATCAGGTTTTTAACTGAAACACATATACACACTAGCAGATATGGAAAATTGGGTGGTTTTTCACACGAAGTTTGGGGTTCCCTTCCATGATGACACCATGATGGTTGGTGCAATCCAAGGTTGATCTGGACATCCTCTACCCTTCCCCTTCCACGAGCCCCCTCCTGATTTCCAGCCTCTGTGATGAGCATTCTCACTAGAGGCAACATCTCAGTTCTTCAGGGAATCTGATACATCTGAGTTTTCAGATTTTCCCACTTCCGCCAAGCACTTAGATTCTCCACCAGCCTCCGACTTCCCAGTGTACTCTGGGCATTACAGGTCACACTCTTGATAATAAACACTATGTCACGATTAACGGACTTCCAGTTGGCCTTCTATCTTCTGATTCTCAAAGCATCTTCCATCTGCCCACGTTATCCCTCTGCTAAGGAACCTTCAGTGGCTCCCTCTGGCCCATTATGCAGCCAAAACATTCCAGAGTATGGCCCTGTGTCTGAAATTTGTTTAATATATTTGCTGCTTCAACATCTGTTTTCCTCTGACAAACTATCTGAAAGCCAAGTGTGCCTTGCCACCTTTGGCTTGGTTAGACTCCCCTCCCCATGTGGTTTTTGCCATGTGGTCCATATACTCCTCACTCCCTAACCCCAAACCACAGCTGCTGGACACAGTGAAACCTAGCGGTCAGTGTCAGAGCCCACTTCACACTTTCTTCTTCAGCCAACACAACCCCCAAAGGCCTCAGGAGAACACTGGGGACCCCGATAAAGTCAGAGTTCCTCATGTACTCCCTGCTGCCCTCTCTCTCTTGCTCTCAGCCTCCACCATCCGGAGGAGCTCCCCACTGCCTTCAGCCTCCCTCCTGACTTCTCTGGGATTTGTAAGTCACTGATTTCTTCAGCTTCAAGCATTTCTGGGTCACCTCCTCATGGAGTCTCACCTGAATGGCACACTTGAACTTGACTTTCCTCTGTCAGAGTTCTCACGGGGTAGCTGTCTTGCTTTATGGTCACTCTTTGTTATTATTATCTATATTTATATTAGTCTGAGTTTGCAGTACATAATGATTACATTCCTTTTGGAGAGCTGGTACACGTACGTAACATAACTAAATTCTTTTTCGTCTCCTTTCTGCCCCTCCATCTCTCAGTCCCATTCTCTTTTGCAAAAGATCTAGCTCCCTGTTTTCTATTATCCATCCTTTATTTTGCTCTAAATTTATATTTTGGGTTTCTCATATTTAAGCTGGTGTGTCTAATTTATTTCAGTTAACATAATGGTCTCAAGGTACATACATATATTTTCCTACAAGGGACAAGTTTATCCTTCTTAATGGCAGAGTAGTACTTCATTGTGTATAAATACCACATTTTCTTTTTTTTTTTTTTTGTACCAGGGATTGAACTTGGGACCTTGTGCTTGCAAGGTAGGCAAGAGAACCACTGAGCTAAATCCTCGGCCACATTTTCTTTATCCATTCATCTGTAGATGGATATATAGGCTGCTTCAGTGTTTACCTTTTATGAGTTGTGCTGCTGCAAACATAGATACACATGTATCACTGTGATATGATGTCTCTAACTCTTTGCGGTAGATACCTACAAAAGGACTGAGTCCAGCGGAATTTCTAGCTTTAGTCGTGTGAGGAACCTCACCCTGATTTTTGGCCAGTCTTGACAATGAGACCTTAAGGGCCCATCAGAAAGAAACCATACAGTCAGGATGGCCACGCCCTCCCCTCCCTTCTGCATCACTCACCCCCTCTCTCGTGCACAAGTTCCAACTGGACTCCTGCCTTACAGAGCCCCACGCTCCCGTGCTGGGACGCTCCTGCTGCTTCCCTCTCATCCGAACTCTCCAATCCAACCCGCCCGCCTCTGAGACCATCTCAGTCACAGCTGTCCATAACAGCGGTCCCCGACGACGATGAGCTCCCTCTCCCTGGCAGGGTGGGTTCCAGCAGCAGCCTCCTGGAAGAGAAGCTTTACAGGAGCGTGTGCTTACCGGAGCGTGTGCACACAGGCGGGGCGGGGCGGGGCTGCAGAGCTG